GCAGCCAGCCAGCCAGCCAGCCAGCGAGCTTGTCTTACTGCAGTATGCACTTCGAACGCCTCACTGAGTCTTCCGTTGTGGATCACCTGATACGTGGCAGGCATTGTCATATAGCCAGCTGTTGAATGAGGTTGATAAATACTTGGATACTGCATTCCGTAGTGTTGAAGCAGTTTTCAAATTACGTCTCAGTCAACGATGGGCTGTCTGGTGAATGCCTTCTCGAAGTTAATGAAGTTGAGACAGGGAGAGGTTTGACTGCCGTTCTATGCTTTGTTCAGCGATGATGATGTGTAGAGTTGCAAATTGATCAGCACATGATTTGCCTATCATGAATGCAGCCACCTTGTTACTGTGGGACTGGCAGAGTTCTGCATCCAGTGCATCTTTTATCCTCTAAAACATGAGGCTACTTAGAATTTCACTTGGCATGGACAGGAGCATGATTTCACGCCAGTTCTTGCAGAGTGAGGCGTAAGTCGCTCTCCTTTGTTGGCTTGACAAGGTAACCAGCCTTCCTTCCAATCAGTAAGCACCTTTCCTTCCCTCCAAACCTTTTGCAAAAATAACCTGTGCACACCCACCACAGTCTCTGTGTCCGTTCTCAGTGTTTCGAAGGAATTCTGTCCGGTCCTCCTGTCCTCCTCACCTCGCTTTGAGTAACTTGATCGCTTTCAGGATTTCTGATTTCGTTGGAGGATTGATGTCCACTGGAAATCAGTTGTGTGCATCCTGTTGGCAGTGGTGGTGGTATTTCTGGGCGAGTTGTGACTAATGGTCGATTCAAGAGTCGTTTGAAGTGATCAAACCATTGTTTTATTTGTTTCTCCCCCTTGGTAACTAGGTTCCCATGGCCACCTCTTATATGTTTCACCTGCGTTGATCTCTTTCCGACTACCGAGTGACCTGGTTATCTGATATAGTGTCCTGAGGTCTGTCTTACTCAGGCCCTGGCTCTTCTGCTTCAGTTGTTGGCGAGTGTGTCGCAGAATCTTCATTTGTCTCCCCTAGCACTCTTCTTCACGCCTTTCTTGATTCAGTGCAGTGTACATTGCTGTGAACTCAGCTTCTCCTTCTTTTGCATTGCGTCATCTCTTTCACCATCCTCCTCTCCTCTTCTCTCTTCTATTAACTTCCAGGTAGGTGTCCACTGACAGCAATTCCTTGTCTTGTCTCTTCTTTCTTCCTTGAACAGTTGTATACGTTTCTTTGAACATAACCTTCAGAGAGTTAGTTCCAGTGTATTTCTACACAGGTTTTCTCAGTGATGCCACATAGTGTCTGCGACTTCGCTCTGATCTAATGTGTAGTGGAGGCATCTTTTGTGGTTCTATGCTTCAGTTAATAAATATTTAACTTGAATTGCGGTGGTCTGTCTCCATTTATTTTCACGGGTTTCAGCTTCACCTTGAAGGTTTTTTGAAAAAGAGGGTGTTCTGAACCCACCTCCATCTGCTCGTCTTCTCGACTTTGTATCCAGAAAGCTGCGTCTCCACTTCCTTGAGATGGATATGAAATCTATGTGGCCTTGTATGAATGTTTGTGCTCGTACACACTGTCTCCGACCACCAATTCACTGGAAGCGCAAAATTCTTTGAAGTGTTCTGCGTTCTCATACATTTCTCCGAAAGTCTGGACTAATGATGAGTTCTCCTCCTGTATTGTCTGCTCCCAGTTCGACTTGCATTTATATCTCAGTTAAGGATTTTGATGTCACCGTTCGGGATGTTATCCATTACTGTTTGTAGTTGTCTATGAAAATCTTCCTTCTCTTGTTCTTCGTTATTTGTAGCACTGTGCGTAGTATTGTATAATTGTGAGCTTCCTTCCTTTTGATTTGAATCTTGTTGTCATTATCCTGCAGGATGAAATTGGTTCCCACTGCATCACTATAGCCACTCACTGCCTCAGTGTGTTCGTAATTTTCGTCTTGATGATCAGGCCGGAGTAGATTACTGACTCTCCAGTTTCGACAATCCACATCCACTCTATCTACTCTCGTAGATATCCAACACTTCTATGCTGCATCTTAGCATTTCTTTAGCTACCTGGGCAGCCTTCCCTGCCCGTCTCGTACATTGTACGGGCATTACATGGCCCCATTATTACATTTGCTTTTATTGAAAATAGACACATCGGCTGACTGACCTGGCTTACCGAAGGCTTTCAGCAGCCCGCGTCATTTCGCCTTTCCGATTCTAACGAGAAATATGTTCATTTTTTATATTTTTTGTGTTTTTATTATTTTCATTGTGCATTGAAGTTTCTGTAACAGTTTTAATGGTTTTGTGGTTCTGACATTGATATCTATGGGCTGATATTTGTCTTGGCCTTACTGAATGGTAAGGTATTTTGAAATTTCGTTGAAATCACTATCACCCATAAAACTATTGCTAACTCAGAAATCATTTGAGGCACACTGAATTAATTTCTACCGAAGGTTGAATATCCCTGTTTTGCATCAGCTGGATACACTTATTTGGGTTGTTCTCCTGACAATTTTATGTATCTATCCCTGAAAATAATGATTTCACCATCTTGCTATGATCAAGATTATATTTCATCGTAAAGAAACATTTATGTTTCAAAAATTTAAAGTTGTTCCGTGAAATTTTTCAAATGTTTTTTTCAAAACTGAATTAACATAACTTTATATTAACTTGTCTACCTCTGTGTTTTATTGTGATTATTATGTTATAAAACAGATAACGTATCAATAAAAGTACCAGGCATCATTCTTCCTTTCACTTTCTACAGACTCTAACTTTCTTGACATTCTTCAGCACTTCATTATTTTTAAAACAGAGACCTCATCGAATGGTACAGAATGATAGGACAATAATTTCTGAAAACTGATAGTAATGTCCAATTTTAATTTGTATATGGTTATTAGGCGAATTAGCCACAAATATTTCATTTTGTCTGACTTTTGGAAACTCTCAAAAAAGTCTATAATTGCCATATGTTATAAGACTGCTGAAGTTTTGTTTACATAAATACATCTCAAACTACTGATAAAGACTACCTACTGCAGCAAATATTTCCACATGAATTAGTATGTAGTTTAAAATGGTGGAGGGCGAATGAGAAATCTTGGCAACGCACCACTGTGAATGAAGACCTGGTAGAAGGAAGCATCTTTCTTCAATGAAAATTCACATGTTTTGAAAATCGCCTACCTATTTATGCATAAACTTAGGAAGAGAATTTCACGATAGTAATCTGCATAAAAAGCCTACACATCAAACATTTTTTGTAAAGATGGTAGCTGAAGTATTTTTAGACTGAATGAAATATTCATTTTTCTGTGACAATACTACATGTCTACTGATATCGACATGCCATACAGACTAAACTGACCATTTGACGAAAGGATACTTTTTAGTGGGGAAGCTTACTTTGTGTTCATTGCATTGCATGAATAACTTTGAAAGGATAAACTGAACGTCGTTATAAGATATGAAAGTTGAGCTTTGTCATTTATCTGTTCAGTATTAGCTAGTGATGCGTTTCGGATTGATATCATGGGTTGTTTCGGCAGATGGTGACTGATAAAACTTATGAACATCGAGGCACAGAGATAAATTTTACGCTTAGCTTTTTATCAGTTTTTAATTATTGTCTAAAATGCTCCGCTTAAGCTTACTGTTCACCTAAGTTTCATCATATTATTTTGCACACCCATTATATAATGCAGTCGATATTCAAATTCAGCACTAACATTTTATGAACAGAATACATTTGCCACTCTCAAAGACACTAGGAGAGCAAGAGACCACGCCTTAGGAAATAACAAGACGTACAGTTTATCAAACAAAAGCTGAAAAAAGGTATTAAGTCACAGAATAAATTACTCTCTCTGTGTGTGTTGAGGGGATTTCTATAGTGTCGGCCACAATATCATGGAACCTATTAATTTGCAAAAGAAAAAATAGTCTTTTTCTAGAAATGGTTGACTGCATACTTTTAAATAAAAAATCCAAAATTAATAGTTCGATATTTTCAAGGTACGTATTGCTGATAAGGATAAAAAATGTAGTTATTTCACTGTAAGTGTTTAACAACGGTTCGTAAGAAGTCTTTCAATCAAATCAGGCTTTGCAATATTTACATTTCTGCAAAAAACCATATGACTCATGCAATGCAAAAATAATGCTTAGTGAGGATTTTGAGCTACTTAACCTACTCAAGTTTGAGTAAGCGTATTAAATTTTTATGCTTTGATTGTACACTAGTAACTAGTGTGACGTGTTTAGTCCTTTCTTTGATGCAGACTGAATTCATTGAGTCAGGTTTGCAATGTAGCCAGCATTTTAGGTAGCTCACCATGACGGTGCACATTGATTTGATGGTATCAGACTGTTGGAGGCAATAGGCAGGAAGCCTTGGACATAGGTTTCGTGCTAGCTGGCACTCACCAATCAGCAAGGCGTATCTGCAACCTTGTAGGAACTCACTGAGCCCGAATAGCTCAGATGTAACGCCTCTTACTGCAGCAATGGGCGACGCAGGTTCGAATCTCAGAAGAGAAATGAATTCCTTCAAGGTAGCATATACGCCTTGCTGACTGGTGAGTGCCAACTAGCACGAAACCTAGGTCCAAGGCTTCCGGTCTATTGCCTCCAGCTATCTAATAAATAAGCCTCACCTAATTTACAACTTGCCAGTAATGCGAGAAAAAATTATGGTTTGGAGTGAGGCTAGCAACCCCACTGTGCTAGAACAACGCCACCACCACAGAAACAGAGAAACTTGAAATCTATCTTCTACTGGGAAGGCAAAGAATGGTGAAAGGAGATAATAAAGTTATCTTCAGATAATGAGTTATGCAACTGCTGAAAACCCACAATAAACTTTATGTAATATGATATGAAAAGCACATGCTGTCTGTCTTTTACCTTATTTTCAGTTACATATATATTTCAGTATTTAGGGTGATTTTAATAGTTCTATCTAATCACCTTGTACAAACAGTTGTATTTATTTAATTTGTTTGACAGTATTATATTGAAAATTTCAACGCTTCAACCACTCAATCATGCAACCTTCGTGTGTTATTGAAGTTTGTCCTGCAACACCAGTTGCCAAAGAACATCAAATGTCCGAAAATATATCCTGTGACTCGGCTGATACGAATGAAAGAACAAATGACTTTGGTTGTCCTCCTGGGGAATCCAACAGAACTGCTGAATCTCTAAATTGTCCTGAAAATCCTGTTAATCCCTATACAGAAATGAAACCATCCAATTCTTCGCTCAGCATCTCATCAGTACAAAGACCAAAATCTCCAAGGATTCGATCTAATAGTAAAAGTGGAGCAACAAGCTTTACCTTTTCAAAATCAGCCAAATTTCCATCTTGGCGAACACATAAATATGGTAAATACTGTTGGAAAAGTTGGATTACCTTTGTACATCTGGTTATTGCTTTCAGAGCTATAATTGTCCGCATTGGATTTATATGCTTTACATGTACTGCTATTGTAACTGTTGTCAGGGAGAAAGAAGATAACAGATTTTGGTTCTTAGCATTGACAATTCTACCTCTTCTTATTGACTTAATTATTGCTATTAATTCATACATTTCTGGTAAATCAGTAGCACCAACAATTTCAAAATGGTGAGTTTCTCATTTCTCTTACATTTTATTCATGAAATTATTACATTTTAATTTTTATGTACGGAAGTCATGCTTTTTGATTATAATAAATAAGAAGGCAATGCTATTGTTCTGAAAGAGAATGACAAAGATGGTAAAGCAGTGTTTCAGTATCCCTTAGTTTTCCAAAACCTGTTCACATTTCTTTCTTTTATGGGCTGGATGTTTCTTCTAGGAGGAAAAAATAGTCAAACGATGTTCAGTGACCATATTTGCTGTTCTTACTATAGAGATTAGATATTTCACAATCATAGGGTGAGATTTATAAATGACAGTCAGCATAGAATCCCTTGGAATATTAATAGGGAGAGGGTGCCAAGAATATATCAGTATGCAAAGACACGACATTTCTTGTCATTCATCAGATACTTTCTTAACAAACTGTATAAACTATTAGAAGAATGAAATGTATACTACAGAGGTATTAACTATTTTAACTGACAGTAGGGTTTCGAGTTCGGACTGTTGATGTTCTGCATCTCTTCAGTAAAATGAAGCGAAGAGTTTTGATAGATTTGCCGTGTTTGTAAATAGTAAGAATTCATAAACGATGTTATTTAATTATACTCTTGTATTGTTTTTATCAGGACAAAATTAATTTTTCATGAATATCTTGACAATAGGAGATAGAGACTATTGAAACATTTTACTTTGTTGTACATTGTCACTGATAGAGGTGAAATTGAATGATTGCATGAGGTCTACAATTTGTATTTCTAACCTCATATTTGAAGTTACAAGAATATGAAGAATGATACAATGACTAGTTTTATCCACAAGTATTATAGAACACCATAAATACTGAACATTCAGTCTTCTTAATCTGATGGTAAAGTAACAGCAATTAAGTAAGTTGTTAGGATGGACAAAGATTGTAAATCACTTGACTAAAACTATAGGGTGGAAACAGAGGAAAGTATGCCATAAAAGAATAGGTAATGAGGTGTAAATGATATTAAAAATCTAACAAATATTGCAACAATTTGCTTATCTATTAAATGATAAGATACATCCGGAAACATTATTTTTTTCATAAGTTAAATCTGAATAATTACTCTGCCGATAAAGATGAAAGTTTCTATAAAGTCGTTTGTAAAAAGCAACTGGTAGCTGGACATTTGTATGGTGTTTACAACTGACGGGAATACATTATGTATTAAACACTGAGTTCTAATTATACATAGTGGCGTCCTATCATCATATAGCCTAATTCATGTCAAGTGCATGATGTATATAACTAAAAAAGCGCCAATTTTCCGTAAAAAGTAGCTTAATTCATATATGCAGTCATAGGGGTTTTATACTAGGCACTGAGCTGTAGTCTAAAATACGATGGTGACTCACATTAAATTTTAGATTGAAAAATCACTGATAATTAAGGGATAATTACTTCATTCTAAGCGATAATATATCAAACTAAAGCATAGTCAAGTGAACACCGGCTAGATTTCCCAAACTACTAGAAGACCTTATTTTACCGCTTCCTATAACGGTAATTTCTTTATGTTTTTCTCAACCGCATCTTTTTTGCATAAATGCTGGTTGATTTAATCATATGTTTTCACTCTTTTGGTCAGTAATCATTTTTCATTATATCTTTTCTACTGACCTCAGAGATGACAACCAACTACAGTGTATTATGCGATCGAATTACACAACTGTTAGCACGATAAATTTGACCAGCCTAACTTAATGCTGATTCAGTGAGGTATCAGCTCAGTATTTTTACCTGCAAAGTCACTTTTCAAACTTCTCAGATTAAGGACAGAAATTCACATTCCACAAGATACATTGAATTCATTGAAAATGAAGGTATGCTTTTCTAAAAACTACAAGTAGTGGCGGAATTTCCTCCATAGCTTTTACTTATATCGCTTAATCAATCATCTAATATCTATTGCATTTTGTTTCAACCTGTTTCATCTTCCATGAGTTTGAATAAACGAAATTGAAGAAAATTATCCTTGCTGAATTCACAGTGTACTCCGTCAAAAAAATATTATCTGCATTTGATAATAAATAACTAAACAACTATTTCAGATAAAAAAGGTTTATATTTGCTAATAGTGCATTTAATCTGAGTTAATATCTTGCTATAAAAATAAATGCCATATGTTGAATGCAACCATTCCAAAAATCGAGTAACATTTGTTTGTTGTCTAGAGATGTTATTTGTGATATTTGTTGTCGAACAACAGAAACACAACTATATGATATATGTGAAAACCTCCCAGTATTGAACTTGCGAACAATGCATACTTCTAAAGAAACATTTGAAAGTTGTATCCTCAACAAAATAAAACAGAGACAAATCGTTCAATAAGGTTTTTGATTTCAAAGTTGTATAGTTTTGGTAATCGGATAACAAATGTAGAAGTTATTTGTCACCTGAAATCCACTGTAAAATGACTTTATATTTTGTTATTAAAATGTGACTGCTTGATATATTAAACATTTTTCCCATTTCGTTAGCGTTTCCATGATAATTCATTCACTTGGTTCTTCACATTTCTAATAATTATTGTCACTATCGTTTTTTGAACGCCACACATGTTCGGGAGCGACACTGAGGTTACTGAAACTCAGGATAGCCACTAATCTGAGTCACTGACTCTGTGGTGGTAATTATGTTACCACGGTAACTTGTACTATTCTTTGATGAATTTAATTAAACTTTGCCATCATGCTTCAAGCATGTGTAAATAATAAATTCATGCAACCCATTTTTACTCAATTTAGCTTATAAAATCTAACACAAATTTTGGATTGAAAGAATTAATTTTAAGTTAGAACCATATTTGTTGTTCAGTGAAGATTTGATGGTTAACTCGAAATATCTTATTTCAGCTTTCACAATTACAACGGATTCCGAATAGCTTCTTCATGACAACATAACTTACTGAAGGCTATTTCTGTTTTACTTCGTTTATACACTTGTGCCAGACCTGTAGATAAACGACCTGCAGAAAATATACAAGATGGTACTTTTCAGTAATTAAATAGTATTATCGTGAAAGTAACTTTGTTAATGCTTGACACTGGTAATCCGGTATGCTAAAATAATAAACGAAAATCTGATAACTGTAGGATTACTTATGCAAATCTGAACCTTTCCTATACCAGTGGAATATTTGTGATGTGCGATATTTTTCAACTTTTTAATATTATTCTAGTATACATTATTAGCGTCTATTTTGGTGTATTTGGCAAACTTTTAATGAATTTTTTCATACTATTTCCAACGTGAATTGACAGTCATAAAACCTAAGAGTATTATTATAATAAAGAAGACTGTGATATTTTTCAAGCAACTTACATTTTGTAGGTGGAGGTTTCATTGACCTTACATGATTTATCATTCGCTTTCAAAATGCTGTCCTTCTAATTAGGCAGTTCAACCTTATTTTCAAGAGAACGTTTTTAGGGATTTGATTTGTTTCAGTTTTTGACCACGGATTGATATCAGTTAGAGAATCGTTGAAAACCAAGGAGTACTGAATAGCTGTTTTGTCCCCGTTTGAGGTTCATTGGTAGTCCGCATTCACTTGGGTTAGAATCCATAGACTTCTGGTTTTCACTGGTTCTTCAATTGATCAAGCTTGAAACAAGTCAAATCCCCATAAATTCACTCCTGAAAACTAATCTGATGCTCGCTAATAACTGGGCATAGGAAGAGGTTGCCTGGTTTGAAAGCTTATTGTTTACCCCTAGCCTCCCCAGTTCCTGCCGGATTATTATTCACTTCACTATTCGCTTTCAAAAACTCCAGGTGTAAAAAGACAACATTGTCGTGAGTCACATTTACCCGGTTAAATGTTCCTAATTACTGTATTAAAATTGAAAAACTCAATGAAAATCTCTAAAAGGCACCTAAGTGGCATCATTTCGCAACCAACGATTTAGCGATAACCGTAAACACAACTGAAGATAGTGGCATTTGTACATGAGCATTGATAAAAGGTGTATCATCATCAATTCATTTCGTGAAACGTACTTTCACCAAGTGAAATTCAAGGTTTTTCTATACCTGTCAAATTTTTACAGTACACTTTGTTTGTGTGCAAAGACCGTCATAATTAAAGGAACTTGTAAAGCTCCAGTTATAGTGAATGACTTTATTAAATATTTATTATATTATTCAAGTATAAATATGGCCTATAAATACATATAATGATCACTAGAATATGTATTCATGTTATAAAAGGATATATCATTCAGATGAACCCAAAACAACGACTAGAAGGGCTAAGTATCAAATGTTTAAGTTATGAATGTTGCGATGCACCTATAAAAACACATTTCAACCTAAAGGAAACAAAAACCCTCTGAGAGATAAAGCACTTTGGTGGCAGATACTGAAAAGCAGAGACCCATCTGGAAGTTCCTGTAAACAGACTTGAAGCTCCCACTTTGTTATAATAACCCATCAAAACCTTTGAAATTTTATTTGCCGATTAGATGAGTTAGGTTATCTTCAAATTTGAAGTTTATAACAAAATTAGGTTTATTTAACTTCAACAGATCAGAAGTTCTTTTTCTGAAAATTAGGTTTTTTGTTTTGTTAATAAAATTGTCAAATACTTATTCTAATAATAATAATTTAACGACAGGCAGATCAGCGTTTTGGGTAAAAGTGTGGCATTCCAAATTGTCACAAACTTGAACGCTACATAAAAAATAAAAGAAGAGAGAATGAATGATACTGAAGTGAAACAAATTCTGTGTCGGGGAAACGAGAGCAACTAAATGAATATCGGAGACTTTTTAGAATCCCCAAGTTCATGTGGAGTGAAGGCATGAATAGAGTTATGGCCAACTTTGAACCTCATCAGAAATGGACTTTAGGGATTGATTTTTGCAAGACTGAGCATCCCAGGCAAGCTGTCTTCACTATGTGTTGATCACCTTGTAATTGCAGTCATGCTTCGGTATGTACAGTTCTACCGTCTTTTCAACTTAAT